CGCATGAGAAGGAGATAATGTACTGGTGCGGGAGCATGGTCTGTATCCGGGCTAGAAGAGATATTGTTGAGAGTTACAAATTACGACGTAGGAGTGCATCATCCCCAGCGTACCGTTGTAACAGGAGTCGCCAACAAATCGCATCTACCCAAGCCTGATCCCCATCACCCAGCGGAACTTTCACCCGCGACCAATCCCCCACCGACGAACAACATCCCGCGGAAATCACAAGTGACAGGGAAAGCAATCCATCCGGCAGGTGGGTTTTGGGTACGCCACCGGGGCCACAGTGACGGACATCTGATTCTCATACATGAAATTCGGGGGGCGTTGGGAGACATGCATTCTGACTCGGCATCTTGAGTCGCAGACGACCACGAATAGAAATAGCAATTGTGACTACTATACCCCCGGCGATGATAACGTCAAACAATGCAAGTGGGGACCGACATTCCCGGGATCGCAAAGACTCTCCGTTCGATGTTCGGTAATTAAGCGAAAAAACGGATGTCCCGATGCAACGCTTAAGTTTTTCGCTTTCGCGTTGGTGGTCTACTATATGTGGATTTGGTGATCAAGTATGAGGTGGTAGAGTGTCATGGACATCACAAAACGCCGAGGATAAGGAGAAGCGAGCGAAGACAAGGGGGTTGGTTGGACCGCGGATGCGAGGCGATGTGATGTGTGACACGGAGGAGATGCCCGGTAGAAGACGTCAGAGGGACGACTCGTTGCGCTCGCTTATGCCGGTCATGATGCTTGTGAGTCGGCCTCTTGCTCGGTGTAATGAGGTCAGGCTGAGTCTCGACATCGCGAAGGAATGCTGCGTGACTGTTGAGCTTTGCAGAAGGTGTGGATATTCGCTTCAGTTGCTTGGGGCGGAATCTTGGAGGTGTAACTTGATGGGGTGGTTGATGCGCGTTTCAGCTGAGCGATGCGCGGTCACGACTCGCATTATTCATTGCGCACATCATACGATGGTTTGACAGCGGACGGCTTCGTCGCTACCAGGAGACATGTTGTGGGTCATCGAGGCTGCGTTGACTGCAGTGAGAGTTGACCGATTATTGACAGCTACATTTCGTTGGATTGCGTAAGCTACGCAAAGGATAGACCTACGCCATGGTCCGTATGTCTTGTGGTCAACGATGGTCCAGATCTGCCACTGTTCAAGGGATGCAATGCTGACCAACCCCAACCCCTTGCAAACCGGATACCGACCTCTTCCGGCATGCATCATGACAGCTTCTCAAGGGTCCATAGATGGCGTAATTGAATCTCGCAGAACCATGCCCCAGCGTTGTTGAGAGGTGAGATGGCGCGCGCTCGAAGGATTGGAGATCTTCATGAAGCATTGATACCGCTGCGGAGAGCCGCCCCGCACGAATGCGAACCTTGTGTTGAGTTGGGGACCTGGCGCATAATCATTACACGGTGGACCACAGAGTGCTGGGTGTGATCCTAGGGTCGCTCAGTGCTGAGAGCTCGGGAGCAAAAGAAAAAGGGTTACAATGAACAGCTCCTTCCCACGTGGATTGACTTGGGTGTAGTGTAAGCGCGGGGAGGCGGGACAACCTAGCGCGACCTGTTTCTCAGGTATGCTACGGTTACTCGGCAACGGTCGACGCCTCACGGGTGGTTGGTCCGGGGCGTTCTGACCAATAACGCAGCTTGGAGCGGGGTTTCGAATAAGAGACCCTCATTCCGGAGCTTGCTCCTCGCTTCTGGAGGGGTCAATGTCTCCCTTGGAAGACCCTGCAATCAATGGTTGAGCTCAAGACGGCATATGTGGAATGAGAGGCGTAAAAACTAAAGTAAGCAGGAGTCTGGAGTTTGCGCGCTTGCCGTAGTTCGAACGTGGAAGTGAGAGCGACCAGACTTTGCTAAGATCGGCTATCAACCTACGAGAACACGGCTCTTTCGACACCGAATATCTTCGGAATTAGTGGCGCCACGGGACAACTGATCTCAAACCGCGTCGCTTAACGGCTTTGACGTGACGTATCCTAGTTTTGTGGGTAAAACGATACTGATCGGCGATATGGGTTTGTGTTGTCCATGTCGTAGGTTTTGTGTATGAACCTTGCGATTTATGCGGGACTACTGGTGACAATACGCGTACATGATCTGGAGCTGACGATGGACTATCCAGGGTCCAGTTCGTAGCCAGGAGCTTGTCCAGGGACGTCGCTGAAGAGCGCTGGGCATGACTTGACTGGGTAGGAACATGTTTCCCTCTTTCCATGCGGCCAGGATGTTTCCAATTACGGCGACAGGCATCTGCAAGGCAAGCAAGCGGATGTGAATGCCGCGTTGGGCTCTCGCAGTTCTACTCTACTCGATACCCATGCAGATATGCTAGGATGAGTGCAATAGCCGATGAATATGCCCTAGGCTGGATAAACGGGAGTGATGGAGTGCCATCTATGACTTCTTGGTCACGATATCGTTGAGCACTTACAGTTCAGAGTAGCGCCAACCGTGAAAACGCTGCTCGGAGTATAGTCCAGCCACTCTCATTCGACACAGGGCGGACCACCTGCTAACGGATACTGAGTGGGGTATGTAGTTGCCAAGAATAGAGAACTGAGCTCCCTGGAAAATCGGTATACAGACGATGTAAGGTGGGGCGCGCTTCTTTTGCGACAATGGGTTCACGATGGTATTGGCATCCAAACAGTTCGCAGTGACTATCAGTAGAGATGTGCAAGACGGCGCGAAACGGCTGTTTGGGTCAGATCAAAAGGAATTCCGAAGATGCGGGCGCAATCTGACATCCTAGACGTGTTGATCTTGTGGAGAGCTGAGGCCGCCGGACGTTGAGAGCTCTCGCGCTTGTGAAGACGCCATCAATTCATCTGCAGGGTCTTCAAGTGGGCGCATCGTCTTGCACCAATGGCAGTTGGGGCACGCAGAGTAATAGTACACGAAGAAGGATGCGCGAGCAGAGCATGCGGCGAAGAAGCAATTTGGCGTTAGCTGAACGCGGTGAGCATCTGGAGTTCCCAGATTAACGAGCAAAAAGCAGCTGCGGCAGGGGCCAAGCGCGCAGTACCGTGGAACATTTCAGGAGGATCTATGGCTGAAGACGAGGCTGGCATTGGCCAAGATCGCATCTCATCTCTCAGATGTTGGGCGGGACGATCACGAAGCACCGGGCTGGTCCACGTGGCTGCGTGGCGCCCTTGCTCCCATCAGCAAAAGGATGGAGATCGCGATGTTGGCCCAAAGTCGGTGAGATACTGGACACCGTATCGGCATAAGGTGCAGCCATCACAGCAGGGGACCCCTCGTGCGGCCGGCTGGTAATTTTGCGCACATGAGGCAGCATGGGATTTGGCCATCGTGAGTTTCCCGATAAGGCAGGGCGGCAGTGGGGACCGGTGCCGAATGCGAGGCGTAAGGCACGGGGCAGGAGTGACATCAGCGTTTGTAAGAGAAGATTAACGCCGGGTCAGTCGGCGGCAGGAAGGGGGACTTGGGCGGGCCCTGCATAAAACAGCGATGGGAAAAGGCCGCGCGAGGGTGGCAGAGATCGTGATTCGGGCAGCCTTGAGGGGACAAAAGGACCGGATGGGTGGTGGCCGCGCAAAGTGAAAAGAAACGAAGCAGGCTAGGGCAGGGAGATCACGTCGATGTGGTGCAAAAACTCGATGGAGGGGTTCGGTCAGTGCTGCGCGGCTGCCGTTTCGAGGACGGCGCGCAAGGTCAAGAGTCTGGCCAGAGGAGTCTATGGGGCTTTTGCCGCTAAAAAGAGCGCCAGGGGCTGTGGCTGATGGCGGGCGCCCGACGTCATCTTTTTTGCGAGAATACCGATCCCCCACCAGATGACCCGATCACTGCTTAACGTCCAGCGGGGCGCTAGGCTGTGAGCGGATAGGTCGGAACGGCTGGCAGGGATGCGTAAGCGGAGAAGACCCTGATTCTGTATTACATCAGACCTAGCGACGTTATGCCGGCGCGTTGTTTTTCGAGTACCGAATGCGCTCGAGAATGCAGACCCTGGGGCGCTGAGAGGCGCTGAGAGGAAGCTGGTATGACAGGCTCTGACGGTCTTGGTACGACTTGTCGCTGTCGCTGTCGCTGCGATAGTTGCGCTGAGTAGTTCTGTGGTGTCTGGCGTCTGTGGTGTCGCGATCTGTAGTGTCGACACCATGCGACCGATGCGATACATCATTCCGATGCGCATCCCCAAACAAAACAACTGACTCTTTGACGCCGACACGCACCGGCACCAGGCCGGCGGAGGGTGCGGGTGTGAGCTGGCACAGGGCCTGTTTCTTGCCATTGGCGCCCGAAGGTCGCAGAGTTCCTTGAAACTGCCCTCGAGATCTCGATCTCTCCTGAGCAGACGGCACCTGTCCGCCGCCGTAGCATTGGCCGGCGCAGCCTGCTACCGACGGGCAATCTTGCATGGCTTTCTTTTTCTGCACCACCCATGTTGACCCATGTCGATTGCAGGACCGCTGAAGCTTCGTCCCAGCAACCCAGCAGCACGCTCCGCGGTGCATCGCACTGAGTTCCACGGTGTCATGCGCTGATGCCGCTTCCTGGTCGGTCGCTCTTTCCTAGTGCGCGTCGCCTGCGAGCTGATCGCCGGCAGCCGGGGCCCCTGCCACTGCCTGGCGCTAGCGTCTTAGGGCGGACTGCACTTTCCCATCCCCACGCATGCAATTCTCAGTCCCTGATAGTGCCCTGATCCTGGGACCAGCGAACCCTGTGCTTCTGCCCTGCTTGTGCCTTGCCCAATATAACTTGCTCCCAGTCCCGCATCTGTCGTGTGGTGCTCCAGTAAGCTCTCTCCCAATTCACTCACCACGCACGCTCCCCACCCAACACACCTGTCTCATTGTCGTGTCGACGTCAGTCGCCTGCCTCGCACATCACCTACACATCACCCTGTATAAAGCGCCTCAACCACCCGGCCACCACTTTCACGTGCAGCCCATCGCTCTCTCTGCGAATTTGGTCGCTCCCCCACTGGCACGTGTTTGCTCAAAATGGACGCCTTGTCCGGCAAGAATTCGACAGGTCGCAGAGTGTCATTGCTAAACGACGGCCCGGCGCCTCCTCCTCAACTTGTCCGACTTCCCTCCATCACTCCTTCCCTCCAATCCCGGACCTCCAGTTACTCATCTTCACCCCTCGCCTCACCTCCTCGCCTGGTCCGCAGCGACTCTTCCGACTCGACTATGCAGACGCCGTCGCCCATCACGCCTGACTTCTCCTACGAGCCCGGCATGGACTCGCCTGTCTTCGCACAAAATGGCTTCTTCGTCGACCAGAAATTCGGCGTGCCCATGCATCAATCGTCCGGCCCTCTTCCTTACCACACCAACCCTGCCCAGGCTGGCTACTTCAGGCCCGACCACATGTCTGAGCACCCTGATCAAGCGGCGATGAATGCCCGCCCCAAGAAGAACAGCTACCCGTGCCCAATGGCCAAGCAGTTTGGCTGCAACGACTTCTTCACCACCTCTGGCCACGCCGCCCGTCACGCCAAGAAGCACACTGGCAAAAAGGACGCCTTCTGCCCCGAGTGCAACAAGGCCTTTACCCGCAAAGACAACATGGAGCAGCATCGCCGCACCCACCAAAGCGGCCGCAATGCCGCCAAGGGCGGTGAGCGCGACGTCAAGAAGGCCAAACACCAGGCAAAGCGACCCAAGCCAGCCCCGCTCCAGTCTTCGACGATGCCTTCTTTGTCACAGCTTTCCATGGTAGACCCGTCGCTTCCCCTCAGCCCGTCCGGATTCTCCATGGCCTCCGCTGTTCAGTCCACCGACTCTTTCCTCGAGTTCCCCAACAGCTCTCGGTACCCCGACCCGACTGCTTACAGCTACAACCCCGCTCCCGCCCAATACGGTGGTCTTGACGCACTCGCCATCGCAGCGAGTGGTGAGAAGCGCAAGTTCGAGTCATAGTCGCTCATCTCATCTCTCTTTCACCGTTCATCTGATCACATCTCTGATCATCTCTTCGGGTCTTCTACATTAGACCACACGATTTCTGGAGCGAGGCGCTTAGGGCTACGACCACGATATCATGGAGTTCAAAAGTCCGACGGAACAATAGACGCATGCCGTCATGGCTACGAACGGACCTTGGCGTTTGGGAGCAGTGCGCACCGACGCACGCATTTCTTTTCTTTTATTGTATATACTACCAATTACTTCGGTACTTGGCCGCGCACAGCCTGTGTCCTTCTCAGCGGTCTCTCCGCTAGCATTCTCATGTTGAGCAGTGTACGTGGAGGATGTCATTCGAAGATAGGGATTAGGGCTCGGAACAGGCAACATGGATACCCGCTCTTACTCAAGGGGCATCAACCTTCGATTTCTCATAGTTCAAACATATCACGGATGTCCACGGAGTAATGCCGTGGCTTCCGACAGAAAACAATACAAATAATTACTACAAACACACCTTCCACCAATCTGTGTTGTGACCTGTGCTCGGGTGACTGACCTCAACAGCTCGCCTGTACCATGGGTTGTTTGGGACACAGCCGATCACGAACCTTACGGATAGCATTCACTTGCAGTTTTCACCTGCAATGGTGACGACAGGAAACGGCCACGAACTGCGGATTGGTACCCCGCTGTCAGCTCATAGTTCGTGCCAAACGCACTATTGCCCGCTTCTCAACCATGGCACGCCAACATGTTCAGCCATACTAACATAGCGGGCGCGCCTCCGCGCTAGAATCTCTACCCCTCCAAAGCTTATGCCAGAGTCTCGTCCCATCAACACGCCACAGCGCTCTCATTCCGCCGCGCCTAGAAGTCAGCCCACGTCGTCCAACGGTCTCGTCCTCAACCCTTTGGCAGCGACGAAATCATCGGTAGAACCTGACGCTAGCGACCCACTAATAAAAGGCCTTTCACAACGCTGATGACCCTGCAGATCTTTTTCGAGCCTAGCTCTGAACCTTAACGATCTGCACAAGAACCCTCAGGTCCGGGAGCCCCGATTCGGAAGGACACGGCTCCAAGCCTTGTCATTGGCTCGGAAATCGTAGCAGGGCAAACTCTATCCAAACAACAGGCCAGCTCTCCGGGGAGAGAACGAAATTCCCCAACATTGCATCCTAGGAGTTCATTTCCTTGGCTTCGTGGGCGCGTTTTCGACTCGTCAGCCACAATGTACGTGTCGCAAGGCACCCAGCGTCGGTTGCACTGTAAATGGCGCGCCCTGGGTTACGAGTTCCGCCTTGGGAGGGACCCCACATCCGACTTGACGCCGGATCGCGGATTCCCATCTGTCTCGGCTCACTTTCCAACGCTCCTCTGCTTTTGCATCGCAATCTGTGCCCATCGTGGAAATGCTGTCCCCACGGGATGAACTGAGCGTGACATCATATCTGCATCAAACAACAGCAATTCCTCTGCTTTTTGCGAGGTTCCATGTTTCGCGCGCAGTTTGCAGTATTGTTCGGGCGTACATCACGGAAGTTTGCGGATCGGCAAGAGGCAAGTAAGCACGTAACTGCGAGCGAGGACAGGGCGCATCTGTTTCTCAACCAGCATGCACATGCAACCTGCAAAGCCAACAAAAAAGCGAAAACAAATTGGGTTTCCCCCCCTCAACGACGATCTCGAGGCGCGCGTATGTGTGGCTGGGACGCTGGGGTCGGTCGTTTCTGCGTTTACTAAACCCGACACGGCATCCTTCGGATATAATAGCAGCGCTGCGAACACGCAAACTTTGGGACCGTGACGCTGTGTCACCATCAGGCTTCCGCTGTCTTCTTGCTGGTAAAGTCTGTCTGTGCCCCTGCCGCGGCTACAGCGGGCCAACTTACTGGTTCCACGATACTACTATGGAGGATGTACCTTTTTCCTTTTTTTTTATCTGGATAAGATAAGGTTTACCTCGCGGATGTGACCTCTCGCATCTTCTGGAGCGAGGTGGTTAGTGGAAACGCTACGGCTATACAAGAGGAGGTAACAACTAGGTTTGCGGATTGTAGTCATCGATTTCTTGCTTTGTACTCGGAGTATCAGCCTTTTTGTTGCCTGTTCTGCCTAATCTCGTTTTCGTTGACGGGCAGAGTTGCCGTTGGCGATTTGCGTCCATGCATGTCAGACTGGACATTCCACCTCATGCCACTGCGGCTTTCAGGGCTCGTTGCGAGGGCAGAGAGTTGTATGCGGTGGTTGCGTATGGTTGCACGGTAGCCACGCATTCGCTAAACACAACATACTGCAGTGTCGTACCACCCGACTCGCTACACCCAACAGTCCTTAGTATACCTTTATAGCAGTACCCCATGTCTCTCCCTTACCCAGGTACTCGCACAACAGCACGCCTTTAAGCCCTCGTCCCGCTCTGTACAACATTGGACGCGAGCTGGGTGGGCTGGGACTGGCCCCACTGCGGGATGCTGCTGTCGTGAGACATTCGTTTATCTGCCTGCAGATCTCAAGATGACTGAGACAGCGTGGCCTGGCTCCAGTAGGCGAGTTTGCGGGGGGAGATGAGATGCATGGTCGGGTCTTTTGATGTTGTGCATCTTGTACGATGGATGTGTGCAGGTCGCCATTTGCTGTGTATACGGTAAGGGTGTTGGCGGGTTTGCCGCGTTCCCCGTTCCCTGCTCCCTGGCTCGGGGAAGGTGAGGAAGGGTGTTTCCAGGGTAAGTAGGGTGATGTGGAGCTGGCGGGGATGATTATGTTCGTTCCGTCCTCTCCTGCCGAGAGGGTGACGTAGAAGAGGTCACTGACGTCTCTTCCCTCTCGCTTCTGAATAGTATGCAGAGTGTTACTGTCCCTTCAATTCCCACGTTGCTCAAGTTACAGGGCTTGCACAAGTATGCTAGAGGGGCAGCGAGATCCCAAAGTTTTCGGTTTCTTACGTTGCACCAGATTAACGCCATGTGCTCATGTCGCACCGGGGACGTGGGCGCGAGGGACGGCCGCTTGGTCCTACGTCGTGCAGTCTCACAACACGAGAAGCCCATCTTGTTTCTACGGCCCTGTATAGAACTCCACTCATACGTTCGATCTGTCTTCCAGTAAAGAAATATACCTTAGTTGTCTATCAGAAGAGCTACAAAAAAATGCGGCGTACGTGAAACACCAAATGAATTAAGTATCAAGGGCAGTCCCAACACCAAGCGTTACACTTCTCTATAAACGCGAGTCGAGGCACCCATCAAATGCACGCCAACCACACAGAAACTCTACACGAAGTAGGCAAGCGCTCATCATCTCACAACATCCCGACCCATCCCAATCCCCTTTTCTCATCCCTTCCTAAAGCAACAAAATATCGCCCCTTACCACAGCCCAAGACAAAAGTACAGCGCCCACCGACCTGTCATCTCCAAACTCGATCTTACAACCTGCAAGCCATAGACCGTCTGAGCCTGCGACCCAGGGTCTCTACGCCGTGTCACTATGGCTGATACATGATTGTGCTTAGGTGCAGGGATAGAATATGTTGCGCCTAGGCGAACGGGAAGAAACGACATGCGTGCTCACGATGATCTGCTGTACATGTATAGCTTGTGGAGGCTTTAGCCACCGGCTTGTAGGGAGTGTAGTTGTGAGGTGCGAAGTGGGTCTGTATCATGGGAGCCTTTTGTTCATTTTCAAGGCTCGAGCAGTGGGATTACGATCATTAGTAGGGTAAGGTTACTACGTGCGCTGGCGGAACGGAAGATATCACTGCAGGAGCTGGATAGTTTCTCAAATGTCACATGTTTGTTCAGTTTTTAGTTTTACGAAGCCTTGCGTTTTTTTCTCTTCAACAATCAATAAAGTCAAATATGAATGCGCCTAGCATTCTGATGTAGTAAGATACGCCGTGTCCAAGACCCTACAACCTATTTCTGCGCACATATAGCCCAGTCAAAGCTCCAAGACTTAGCCGCCATGGAGCACCAAGAATCACATGAGAAGTCATTTCGCCAGTAAAAAGGGTAATGCAGAATAAACTTTGAAAATGTCTTACACACTGCACATGCACGAAGCTGACAACTGACAGGTGTAACTAGCGACAACATGTATTATCGTCTCGCTACCCTTATTCTTCTGCCCTGCATGCACGCGGTGCAACATTCGCTTCCGAGACCCTTCTCTTCTAGTCTAGTAAAGTAAGACGCGTGTTCCCGCCTCTGTGACCAAGACACACATAACAGCGCGAGCGAGGGTATAACGAAGCCATGGTAGCAGGAAGCAGGTAAAGACGAAACAAGCCGCTCGTGCGTGGGCAGGAGACTACTTTTAGCATCGAGAGCATGGGTGAGAAAAGGGTTCAGTACGCGTGCGTGTGTGTTACTAGTGTTGATGCAAAACACTGACACGGCAGTCTCGCTGCGGCCCGTCAACCATGCACGTCGCCCGTAACTTTTCTCAACAGCATATGTCTTCGCGGCCGCACATGTGAGCGCCTGCAGCTACTTCCCGAACACGAACCAGGAATCCGGAGGCGAGACTGCCTATCGTGCAATGTCAGGGCCCAACCATTGTCATCGCTGGAGTCGGGTGTCTTTGCATGATGGGTGCTGCGTCTCTCATGTGAACTTCGCCATGTTTACATATCGTGCGAAGCTGTGGTCCTCGCTTTGGTCGACGCCGCGGTCGTTGACTGCCTGCCTGTATCGCTCTTTTAGGCCGTTTTCTGGATCATCTGAGTCCATCTCATCCTCGTAGTCTAGGTCTTCGTCCATCATGCCGGCTTCGTCGGAGTTTTCTGCGTCGCTGACTGTCTCAGGCTCTTCTTTTCGCGGCTTGCTCTTTGGTTTTGCGCCCGCGCCGCCCACCTTCATGTCCTTCATCATCTTGTCTAACTCTCGTTCACGTGTCGCTTTCTTCTCTTGCTCCCTCTCTGCCCTACGTCGCTCAAGTTCGGGCTTGTAGTCGCGCTCGAATTCTTCCTTCTTCTCCTGCACGCCCTTGAAGAATTCATCCATGCCATCTCCGGTCATAGCACTAACGCCCACAACACTGAGATGCTTGTAAAATTCCTCCAGTACCAGTGACATGCTGTTCAGCAGACTGCCCATGTATCCACTTCCTCCGCCCATGCCTTCAGCACCGAAGCTGCCACCCTCTTCCTCGTTGCGTAGGGCGGTTTGGAAGGCCTCGAAGTCGGTCATCCAATCCTTCGCGAACTGGGCGTCTTGCGCGTCGGTCTTGTTGAAGACGAGTATCATGGGCAACTTTGTCTTGTAGAGAATGGAGCAGGCGTAGAGCATGTTCGACATGAAGGTGCTCGTGCTAGTTGTGCGCGGTGTGTCGATGATGTATGCGATGACGGTGGGGAATGTGCTGGCTAAACTCGAAAGCAGAATCTCTCCACTTGCTGACCAGACGAAGACCTCGATCTGCCCTGGCGTGTCCACGAGGATGTGTTTGACCTGCGGTTGTTGCGCCGGCGCTGCCTGCTTGTCCTTGCCCCCACTTGTCATGAATTCGACTGTGCTTTGCTCTGGCTCCTTCACTGGCGCTGGCGGCTGCGTTCGCTTTTCCAACAGACCAATGACCTGATCAATCTTTGTACTGAACAAGTTCAAGCTCGTCAAGATACCGCCGTTGGGTCCTAGGTTGAACTGCTTCATGACCTCCTTGTAGTTGACACTGTCTCGGATGTCGATGTTGGGTGTGAATGGGACATGGTGGACGGCGGGGTCGAGGTTGATGATGTACGGGGGTGTCGGGGACGCTTTGGAGACGGAGGGTTCGCTTTGAGTTGGGTCGGGATGAGTGTAGAGATGTGAGACAAGGCGCTGCATAAAGGTCGTCTTGCCACTACCAGCCATGCCCACGCAGACAATCGAAACGGGTGTGTTCGAACTGGCGGCAGGCGCAGAGCCCTCTGGAGCCTTTGCGGAGGACATTGCGGAAGTTGTGCGCGTGTTTTGTAGACGATCGAGGGGTGAGAGCGAAGGTTCGGAGAACGAGTGGTAAAGTGGCAGCGGTCTAGCGGGGGAAAATGCGTGATGCTTTCCAAGGTTGTAAGGTAACGCAGTGTTGTTGATAGCCGGATGTAGAGAGTTGTTCTAGAAATTCTTAGGCGGGGCGGACGCGCGCTAGGGAATCCGCCGCGGTGATGTCAGGCCCGAGCTTCGAAATCCGTCACCAAACTTTCCTCTCGCGAGAAGTCTATCAACACCAATCGACTTAGTATCACCGCCAACATGGGTCTGGAGGATTTCGAGAAGGAGCTCGCGCAGACCAAGAAGAAGGACGACAAGAAGAGACGCGATCGAAGCAGAAGTCGCGACAGACACCACAAGCACCGCTCATCGCGCCATCACGACGACGACCGAGACGAGCGCCACCGTCACAAGCGATCGCGACACCATCGCGAAACTTCGGAAGAGCGCGCGCGGAGGAAAAGGCGTGAGAGGGACGAGAATGACGACCGGTCGCGACGGAAACACAAGGAACCCGCATCGAGCGACGAGGAAGACCGTTTGACGCGAAAGCGCAAGTCGCGACACTATGAGGAAGATGAATCGTCAGGAGATGAGGTGCCCCAGGAGAAGGACTACGCGCCACCAGACGACGATATCCTCGACCAGCAGCTCGAAGACGCAGCGAACGCAGACCTGCAACGCGACGACTGGATGAAGGCGCCTTCTTCCATGGATGTCGAATATGTGCAGCGCAAGAACAAGGAGGAGAAGGCGACATATGTGAAGGCATCAGATGAGGGTCAGCCGGCGCTCAAAATGCATCACGCGGAGCTGAACCGTGATTTGGGAAACTCCAAGGACCGGGAAGCTGTCGCGGAAGAACCCGCGCAAAGAGAAGTTAGCTACACATTCGGTGACTCGGGTGCGCAATGGCGCATGACGAAACTGAAGGGCATCTACCGAAACGCAGAGGAGTCAGGGCGAAGTGTAGAAGAAATAGCCATGGAGAAATATGGCGATCTACGGGACTTTGATGAGGCGCGTGAGGAAGAGATCGAGCTGGACCGCAGAAAGATGTATGGGCAAGACTACGTCGGAAAAGAAAAGCCATCCGGCGAGCTATTCGAAGAACGCAGACTCAGCGCAGACATCCACAGGCCGTCTCGCGAGTCGCACGAACCCTCAGAGCTACCCCAAGGCGAAACAGTGCAGGACCCCCAACCTGCAACAAACACTGTCATGCTCAGCCAGACCGAGCTGAACAGACTGAAAGCGCAAATGATGAAGGCAAAGATGAAGAAGGCGCCCGAAGCAGCCCAACTGGAAGCCGAATACAACGCCGCCCTAGCCGGCAACTCAACCTCCCAAAACCGCGACGTCGTCGTCCTAAACGCAATGGACAACCGCATGCTAGCCGGCGGCCGACAAGGCGAAGTCATCGCCCTAACCAACAAACGCGGCACGGAGCGCGGCCTCGTCAAAGAAAACGAAGAAATGACCATCGACGACATGGTCCGACAAGAACGGCGCACGAAGAACCAAGCCGGCGGCGAAGGCGCCCTGCTCGCCGAAAAGATAGCCAAAGACAGCAAATTCGACAACGACCTCGACTACATCGACGACAACGCGACCAAACTCGCCGCGCGCGCCCCCAAATCCTCCATCAACCTGCGCAACGCCGCGATCCAAGACTACACGAAAATGAACCGCATCCTCGACGCCTGCCCCCTCTGCCACCACGAAGACAAGTCCCCGCCCCAACCCCCCACCGCCCCCATCATCAGCCTCGCAACCCGCGTCTTCCTGACCCTGCCCACCGAACCTGAAATCAGCACCGGCGGCGCCGTCATAGTCCCCATCCAGCACCGCACCAACCTGCTCGAATGCGACGACGACGAATGGGACGAAATCCGCAATTTCATGAAGTGCCTCACACGCATGTACCACGACCAAGGCCGCGACGTCGTCTTTTACGAAAACGCCGCTTTTCCCGGGAGAAAAGGACACGCGGCGCTCAACGCGGTGCCTATTCCCTACGAACTAGGTGACACGGCGCCTGCGTTTTTCAAAGAAGCGATTCTGGAGTCTGCGAGCGATTGGACGCAGCATAAACCGCTTATTGATACGCAGAAGGCGAGTCGGAATGGGCTTGGGAAACAGGCTTTCCGGAGGAGTCTGGCGAAGGAGATGCCGTATTTTCATGTTTGGTTTGAACTAGATGGGGGGCTGGGGCATATTGTGGAGGATGAGAGGGCGTGGCCGAGGGGCGATTTGTTTGCGAGGGAGGTGTTGGGCGGGATGTTGGATGTGGGGGTTGAGGTTGTGAAAAGGCAGGGGAGATGGGTCAAGGGGGATCGGAGGGTTGAGGGATGGAGGAAGGGGTGGAGGAAGTTTGATTGGACGAGGGTGCTTACTGAGGGTCAGTAGGTGGACCTGGTTGTCTGTTTATGAGGTTGGATATGATAGAGATGGAGTATGTTCTCAAATCGAAGGCATTTGTTTCGTCTATCCTGTAATGTCGATTGCCCATGCAAAATCATTATCGCTTGCTCGCTCCACAAACATCTCCCCATCACACACTACTACACTACACCACAACGATCCAACCCCTCGAGCCGAACATATCCATGCGTGATTATACCCTTCCGCCCGTCCATTCACTCAAGAGATTATTACGCTTAGCACGCTGCGCTTTTCATGCTAGTAACATACGTACGGGTGCATTACTGCCCCTCCCCTCTCCACCGCCCCTTCGTCGCCAAGGCAGGTTGTTGAGCACGCTAACCACACAAAAGCAAAAGGAACAACCCATTTTCCCAAACGAAAGCCTAGGGTATCAGAAGTGTAAGGCAAGGCAAGCTTTAGGCGAAATCAGCCGAGTACGAGAAGCCACGGAATTCTTCCTGCATGGCTTGTGAAAGCACTAGATGTGTTGTTAGCAAAAGCACATATATACATGGTTGAAGAACGTACCAGACTGCACAGGCGTAAGCACAGGCGTGACACTTGTAAACTCGGTATCGAAGTTGCTAGTATCCGTTGGGCTCGTAATCTGTGGCGTAAATGGCGGTTGTACTCGCTTGTGGTAGATGTCGTCCCAGTTGATGTTCCTGAAGAAAGCATGTGACATGATCTCTTGCGCATCGGTCGGTCCGGATCCAAGACGCATCTCAGGCTCACGGGTGAGCAGTTTCTGGAGGATAGATACCGAGTCGCGCGGCATGTGAATGGGGTAGAGGGGTTCGTCAGCAAGAATGGCGTCGTAGATTTCGTCTTCGTCTTCACCACGGAAGGGTGACTGTTGGAGAAGCATCTGGTAAATGAGCACACCAAAGGCCCACCAGTCGACGGCGCGGCCGTACTTCTTGTCAAGAAGAATCTACAAAATGGCGTTAGTGACTCGATTTTGTGATGATGGACGAGACTTACCTCTGGTGCCATGAACTCGGGAGTACCACAGAAGGTGCTGGTAGTTGATCCGTACCACATCTCTTCCTTGCACAATCCGTAATCACCGATCTTGATGTGTCCATCTAGCGTGAGCAGAATGTTATCCAATTTCAGATCACGGTAGATGACGCCGTTCTCGTGGAAGTACTTCAGTGCAAGGCAGACCTCGGCAGCATAGAACCTGTGGACATGTTAGCGGTTGCCCTTTTGATGATGATCTGGTAACGTACTGAGCGCGCTTCGTGCCGAATTGGCCTCTCTGAATGTGCAACATCAAGTCACCACCACTGATGTACTCCATGACGAAGTACACCCGGGTCTCGGTTTGGAAACAAGCGTGCAAACTCAGTAGGAACGGATGCCTCTCCTTGTTCGCGATCAAGAAGACTCTCTTCTCTGAGCGTGTGCTTTCCACTTCGTCGTTTTCGATGATGAACTCTTTCTTCAGGACCTTAATAGCGTAGAGCTGCTTGGTGCTCTTCGTCTCTGCCAACATGACCTTTCCGAAGTTACCCTTACCCAGGACTGCAAGGAAGTTGAAGTGGTCCAGGCCGATCCTCTTTCCAGTTCCTTGTGTGTTCGCTGCCGGTGTGACCTTCTTGCCTGGTGCTTCTATTACCGCCGATGGGGGTTGTTTCGCGGGCGCGGAGGGTTCTTGCATCTTCGGTTGCGAAGGAGGCGCTTGTTGCTGGTGCTGGGGTTGCGCTTGTGGCGATGGCTGTGGTAGAGCGTATGAAGACTTTTGTGGGTAGTTGGGCATCGCTGCGGGTTGTTGATGGCTCGGTGGGTAGCTCGGAATGTTGGCATATGCCGATGGATCGTAGGTGGCCGATTGAGGAGCTTGCTGTTGTGGTATGCGTTGATCTGCTGGGTATCCACTACCGGACGTCCTTCCGCCCGGTGGCGCATAGTCCGTGTTACTGCGGCCATAGGCAGGTTGAGCTGTGGTTTTGTTCATCGCAGCTGCAGCCGCAGCGACCGAGGATTGAGTGCGTGGGCCCGACGAAGGTCTTGAGCCTGCAGTAGGCGATGTGGGAGCCGCGCCAGAGCTGGATCCGGAGAAGGAGGCTCTTGCCGCATCGATTGACGCCGCCGATGTGGCATAGGATTGTTGTCGTGGAGGGCCAGGCGGAGGACTCATCTGCTCTTTTCCGTAAGAGTACCTGTCGGATTGAGCTTGGTCTTGACCGGGTTGACCTGGAGATTGAGGTTGCGCTGGTGGCAGAGGTTTTGCTGGCTTGTCCGGTCGCAGGGTTCGTCCGCTCATGCCTGGGCCCGACGATGATTGTCCTCTTCTCGTCCTCTTGATTTCCATCAAAATCTGATTAGCCACTTCCATGGACATACCGCAGAAGTCAGGTACGAAGTGAACGCAGTGAGCGTGACAGGTGAGACCACATTCTGAATCACCGTTAGTGAGGTTTGCAAATCGGAATAGTAGGTCCACTCACCATTGCACTTCTTGGTTTGTTTCCGACCAAGTGGCAGGACGTAACCGCAGTGACAGCACCAGTTGGCACCCATGTTGGAAAAGTTTTCGAAGCGATGAGGAATGCGGTGGTTGAGCTTGGCCTCGTCTGGGTCGGTTTCGGCGTTGGACTGAGTGATGCACTTGGTAACAACCTTGGGGTAGCACTTCTTGTGACACGTGTAGTTGCAGTCCGAGCATTGCATACCGGCGGCATACTTGAGGAACTCACCACAGAGCGCACAACGCATAACGTTGTAGAATTGCTGCTGGACGAACTTGTGTCCGTATTGCTCGACGACGTCTTCTTTACGCTGACGAACGGCACCTTTACGACCAAGACCAAGATCGAAGGGTTGCTTGTTGCCGGTGTTTTTGGCGAAGGACATGGTGAGGTGGATGCGACCAACCGGCTCCAGTGAGAACCAGTCATCAATCATAACGGGTCCTGTTTGAGGTTGGGGACCTCCAGGTCTCGCGCCAGCAGGTCCAGGACCTCCAGCACCGGCGCCTGCAAAGTTCTGCCCTGGCGGAGGCTGGAACTGCATGTCGGGCTGAATGCCGGCTGCAGCTCCTCCCATCTTGTCAGCAGCCACCCAGCCTGAGTTCGCGAGCTCCGTCTCAATCTTCTTCCTTCGCATTTCTTCGGCAATGTCTGATATGCGGACCCACAACATGCCGATGGGCAGAAGGTGGTCGCCTGTCTTGTCGTATACGGTAATCTCGATCTCGTTCGCCTTGTCGATGGCGAAGTCGTGAACTTCGTCTACCCAGCGGTCGTTCCGTGTGGGCTTTGTGCGACCCTTAATAGAGTCTTCGACTTTGATGTTGACAAATGTTTCCGGGCCTCGACTAAAGCGCCCAGTAGCTGCGTGATCGACATCGGCGACGGCATGTACGCGGAGGGAGAGGTGGCCGCTCAAAGGTTTTCTTTGACTCGGAATGTTCAAACTGTCATCTGGGCATAATCAGCATGTGGCAGCACACAGTATCGTTGGGACTTACCGTCGCCATCGGCGTCGCCCTCGATGTCGACGTGGAGATCCTCATAACGCTTCAACGAGTGCTTCAACAGCTGGATCTTCTGGTTACTCTCGATGCGCTTGGCTTCTGCGTCTGCCTTGCTCTTGCGGTCGCCTTCCATTTGGTATAACCGCACCATCTTCTCGATTCCATCCTTGTACTGCTTTTCGACACTGAGCTTGAATTCGAGCTGGGACAGCATGAGCTGGATGCGGGGACCGAGATGCGGGGTATCATATTTGATGAGGTCTGCGCGTGTTAGCTGAATAGATTACTGACGTATGCAGCAGGTGTATGTACCCAGTTTGCTGAAGTTCGGTCGCTTGTTGGGCGCGCCGGGAGCTGGCGGGGCATATGGCGCGCGAGGAGGCTGCAGAGCTTGCCCTCCGCTAAGCTGGCTGTACTGGCTTTCAGGGCCGCCGTAGGCTCCCTGTTCTTGCACATAGCCGTTCCAGCCGTCTTTCGGGGGGGGAGTCAAAGGGTTGTTGGGGCCGCGGCCTGGTTGCAAACTCATGTTTTCCATGCCTGTAGAGGTTCTCTGCACGTCCAGGTCCCGTAGCTTCGACTCAAAGTAGTCAATGTTCCGGCGGCCATCTTTGATCTGTCCATCGAGGCGGGAAAGCACGGCCGGGTTGTTGGTCGACTGGCGCATGGCATTGGCGGCGTTGATGAGGGCCCTTTCACGGTCGATTTTGCGTTGCACATTGGCAACGGTCTCGTCGACGTTCGCCATGGCGGCGGTCGTCTACGGCAGGTGGGCGCGGAGGGTGTCAGGAGATTTCTTCACCGACAGAGGCGACGGCGTGACACGGTGCCCAGCGGTGGTGGGCTGCGAGGGTTGCGTCGGCGCTCGGACAGGCAGCCGTGACGTAAGCAGCTTCTGCGCGCAAGCAACAGCCAGTCCAACGCGTCGTCGGCGGCGGCGGCGGCAGGGAGGTCGCGTAGGTGAAGCTGGCGGGCGACAATGGCGGAGTCGTCGTGCTGTGGTGATGTCGTTGGGCGAACAGCGATTTAGCTCACGCATAGGGTGGCTTAGCGGAGCCCCACTTTCCCCCTCTTCGTCGAGTGGCGTCGGGAAAGGGTTAAGTGCCGCTGTCTATCAAAAGCCGCGGGTGCTGTTTGGCGTCGTCGGGCGCGAGTACGAGACAGCAGAGGTGATGACGGCGACTGTCTGGGCGGCCGTGGCTGTTGGTGGGGAAAAGACTAACAGGCAGGCAGCATGGCGGGGTGAACTCTCAACACCGTCTCACAAGGGTTCCATGGAATCAGGCTTATTGCCCTGCTTCAGTCATACCACTTTGACTTCTCGCATCCTCTCGACCACATCCCGAATTCTTATCTTTGTTGAAGGCAGGTGCGCATGACGCCCGCCCGATTGGGCACCGACGCCTTGACATGTGCGACCTGATCTGACTGTGCGAGGCTTGTTTTCACCCAAACTTCCTCCATCACTCCTTGCACAACTCTCTGAAACCTTCATCACACC